TCACAATTTTTATTAAAAAGATTATTTTTCAAGATAATGAGGTCACGTGCGCATAAAATTTATCGCGCCTAAAATTCATGATAATAAGCAGAAATAATTATTTCATTTCATTTTTAAAAAGAATGGATTATTTTTTGAAACAATGGGGTCAATTACACACAAAACTTATAAAATAAAGATCCTGGACGAAAATATCACTATTTATTAAAAACGGACTATTTTTCAGGAAGACGATGTCACTTACCCACAAATATTTGAGAGGGAACTTCGATAAAATTCGGCTAGAGAGAGAGAGAGATCTCAAAATTTTCTAGGGTAGGAGTGCTCACCTCCCCTATTTAAATTCTTATAACGTATTATTATATTATTTTATTACGCTCTACTTCATACCTGAAGTGTCGCGTTAAGCGTCTGTTTTTAACATACGAAAACCACGTCCGCTAAAGGACGTTGCCAGCTACAAGCAACAAGCAAAAGCAAGCAAGCAAAAGCATGCAAGCAAAAGTTAAACCAAGTAAAACTTTTTGAAAATAGTGATGGTCCCCAAGGACCATCATACTCAAACAGACCATCTTTTCTCTTCTTTTCTTTTTCTTTTTTTTTTTTTTTTTTTTTTTTTTGAAATTTTTAGGATTGTTACGATATATCACAAGGGCAAATCCAATGATTCCATTTGAAGTTCTTAGGCATGTCCCTAAGACAGCATATATCTCGTGAATCTCATTAAAAGGCCAATAGCTTTCAATGCCTCCAAGCCCATAAACTCTTCTATCAATATTTTTGGAGAAAATCGCATATTCTTTACGGAATTATGATCAAGACCACACCTAAAAGATTTTAAGGACACGTAAGCTAAAATTGAATCCAATATAAAGTTTTTCCTACACAAAGATTATGGGGCAAGCTTTCTATCCTTCTCCTACTATATAGAAATTATATACTTCCTCCAATCCAGCAGTCCAAACTGAATAAACAGCTAAGAAGGACTCAATTACAATGTCACTCCTTTATATTATTTTATTTTTAGTTTTTTTCTACAAAACATTTTGATGCCAAAACTCGGGTGTCCGGCCGTTAGATCTGAATAAACGGCTAAGAAGAACCCAACTACAATGTGACGCCTTTATACTGTTTTATTTTTAGTTTTTTTTCTACAAAACATTTTGACACCAAAATTCGGGCTTCCACTCCTCTGAAACTGATACTTGCAAAAATATAGAAAAATATTTTTGATAAAATAAAATGCCTAAAATACCTTGAAACTTTCAATGGTATTTTGGTTATTTTACTTTTTGGGAATACCTTTTGTATATTTGTTTAAGTGTGTCCCATTGAGGTGATCACACATACTAATTTCATATTCCTATGATTTGTAATAAAAAATAAAAATAAAATGCTTTGAGGCATCAGTTCTAGACCAAACAATCAGTGGCTCACTTGATCTAAATTAAACGGCCAGATGGAGATAAATATATAACTTCTATACAATACGAAAAGTATAGAAACCTTTCCTTAGTCTCTAGCTTGTGTTGAAATTCAAAATTTGTCACAAGGGAGTCCCTGCCAAATGTTCAGATATTAGCAAAAATCCACAAGAAAAAGAAACTAGAAAACCTGCCTTACCTCTTCGAGTGATGCCTCTCAAGATTCAACATTTCCTATTCACATGCTTAGCAAAAATAAATAAAAATAAGATTTCCTTAAGGCTAAAAACTTAGGTTTTAAAATTCTTGGAAGCACATCCTTCAAATTACAGATATATATATTAGGGAAACTCGTAAAAAAATTACAAGAGAAAAAGGTTAATTAACCAAGTAAAAATATCGATGATCACTCATCACGTAAAAGTCTCTCTTATCACGCAAAACTCACTATCTCCCTCTCTCCCCAAAAGTCTCAATCTCTTGAATTCTCTCTCTCCTTATTACTATGGTCCACATTGTACCTTTAGACCTTCTTAAATTATTTGTTGAGAATGCATCTCTCCCTCTCCCCCTTGTTAAATATTGTATTAATTGAAGTTGTAATGGTTATAATTGGATTCGTATAATCAAGCCCAAATAGTTGGAAAAAAAACTTAAACATCACCCTCTCTCTATCTCTATCTCTCTCCCCATTAGACTTACCTTCCCCTTTTGCCCTTTGATATATGCTTTTGATATGTGGGTCTCCCCTCCTCTACTTATTGATCTCTACTTTTCTATTTTGTCTGTGTCCAATGAGATCTTCCCTTTGGACGGATATCTCGGGCATTTAATGAACATATTTTTATTTTTCTCAATTTTATGTGGGTGTAGGGACCCTAGGGAGACAAGAAACTAACCATTACGCCACTTTTTTAAAGAAGATTTTCCAAATAATAAAAATCATAATAAAGTCCCAAAAATACTAAAAAATATAAGCCTCTCTCTCTCTCTTGTTATTATTATAACAGAGGGCTAGAAACGAATTGGACCTGGGCCGGGCCAAGATTGTCTCGGCTTAGCTTGGATCCTTTGAGGCTCACCCCAGGATTGGCCTAACTAAAGGGCTTTGGTTCAGGCCAACCAGGAGCCCTTGGCTAGGTTTTTAGTTGAGACTAATGAAAAATCGAATAGGAAATTCAAAAGTTAACTAGGGTCGGGCCGACCATGACCCCTAGCTTGGGTTTGGGCCAAAATTTGTGGCCTAATCCACACCTAGCTCGGCTGATCCACCAAGCCCCTTACCAGCTTTGCCATAGAGTTGGAATTGTCTAATGCAGTATTCCGAAACCTAGACTGATGGGGTGGATCATACATGCCACAGACCTTTGTCGAATTGCTTAATCAAATATCCAAATCGATCAGAACCGGCGATCGAAAAAATAAAAATAACTGTTTATTTGGTAAGGATTTAGAGGGCACTAAAAACAATAACAGACATCAACGTGGTGATTTTTGGAAGAACTGGGCCAAGGCCGGTCCAATTCTAATCTGGATAGATGATTTTCAATCCAAATCGACAAAAACAGGCCAAACACGAGAATCAAATAAATATTTTATTTAATTATTATGTGAATTTTAGTCGGTGTGGTATTAAACTATGAAGAAAGTTGTACATGAAAAGAAGAGAAAAAAAGGTTTTGTGTTGACCACTTAAAAGGAAATGATCATTGAGAATTGAAAGAAGGAATTAAAAAGGGTAGTGAATGGAGGTATTGTTGTTTGTGTATTTAATTTTTATTTCGATTAAATGAATCGGTGTTCCAAGGCATCCGTGCGTTCGCGGGCATGCCAACTCAGGACCATTGTGTCGTTTTGTGCATCACTCGTCTTCTTTCAGGTTTTCTATTCCTAGAGAGAGAGAGAGGACATGCAATAGAGAGAGAGAGATGCTAAAGAACCGAAAACTTGAGTTGAAATGTCACCAAGAAATGAAATCATTGCTTAAATTGTCCTAGAGAGAGAGAGAGATGGCAAGCCAAACATGGTGTTTGAAAGGTCACTAAACTAAGAGAGAGAGAGAAAAGAAAAAGCTTGAGTTAAAATGTCCTTAAGAAAGAGAGAGAGATGGCTAGCCAAACCTTGAACTAAAACGCCCTTGCGAGAGAAAGTGAGTGCCGGGTAGATGTCATTTTCATCAAAGTATTTTTTTAATTATTTGGAGTTGGCTACATGGATATATTCATTTGTTTTTTAAAACAAAGCAATTGAACAAGAGAAATGTTTCTATACTTCATCTAAAAGTTTATATACTTCTCCTACAGCTTAGAAGATCTATGTTTCTCTTACCATCCAACCGTCCAATTTTGATCAAGATAGCCGCTCACTTTTTTATCTTAGATCTGACATCTCAAAGTATTTTATTTTTAACTTTTATACAAATTGTATGAATATGAAATTTGATACGTGTCATCTTCTCATTGGATCGCACCTATAAAAAACTATTAAAAATAATTTTTCGATAAATATAATGGCCAAAATACCCCTAAAATATTTCAGGGGTATTTTGGTCATTTTATTTTATTAGCAAAAAAGTTTTATATTTTTAGCTAGTGCGAGTTTAATAGAGGATTGGACGCACAAATTTTGGTGTTAAAATAGTTTATAGAAAAAAAATTAAAAATAATAAAGTGTAGAAATATGACATTGTGATTGGGGCAATCTTAACCCTCCATTCACAGAATGGACACTTAGATAAGGGGAAGTATATAAGTTTTATGTTGTAGGGGAAACATAGAAAGCTTGCTCATTAGACAAAGCGCAGTAGAAAATGAAGGGTATTGTTTGTATAAGATTACAACCTTAAATAATCAAATTAAGGCGTACCTTCATATTTTATCATAATTATAATTTGTGTGTCAAATTTTCTTAGGATAGGTTGAAAATCTATTTTTATCTTTAATTATAAAATCTTAAACTTTAAAAATGGTTCAAATCAAATAAATCTATAAACACATTAAAATTTTGAAAACGAACGGTCTAGATAATGTGTTGCAAGATACACTAATTTTAAGACTTGAAATCATTTTTTCTTTACATATTCATCCATCTTGACATTGAGATGATCGACTAGAGGGTTTCCGGACATCAAAACAACCTTTTATGGTGGATTTTTAGGTGCACATTAATTCTACATTTTGAGGCAGCAACTTTACATAAACTTTTTCTGAAATGAATACCAATATTTTAAACGGTGGGGTTTGTATAGAGCCTAGGCTCAAAACAATCAAATTAGAATATGGAGAGAAGGGAGCAAATGAACAGCATGTTTCCCCAGGACCATAGGGTATGGAGAGATAGAGAGATTTGGCAAGCAACTTGTGATTACAATTCAATAGCACATTCAAGATTTACACTTTTAAACCCACACATGGGATATTGGGATCACCAAAACCAATTGGGGATAGAGAGAGAGAGAGAGATTTGGCAAGGAAACCTGGGCCTTTTTTACTTTGAGACACTTAAAAACTTGTTTATATTGTAATTTCATTAACACATTGAAACTTGAGACTTTTACACCCACAAATGGGATATGTGAGACACTTAAAAACTTGTGCTTATAATTTCATTAATACGTTGAAACTTGCTACTTTTACACCCACGAATGGGATATTGGGATCGCCAAAACCTATACATGCGTTCCTCTTAATTCTCCTTTCCAAAGCTAGATCTTCCATTTTCCGAGCCAATTTCTTCCCTCTTTCCATAAAAATTCCATTTAATTCATGAATTCTCTCTCTTCAACCAATGCTTGCTTCTAATTTGGGCCTCTGAAATGGAGATGGTATTCTGAGCATCTTGTTACATTGCAGCCATTTTTCGAGGAGGACCGACTTCTCGGAGCGGGAGGCCTTTTCCGGCCATTATCCAACAATGCTCGGCCGCTTTTTGAGCTCGTGTTCTTCGCACCGCGATTTTGAGGCGATCTCACCACCACACATGAGCTTGTTAAGTGTCCTCTCAATTTGGTATCCTCCTCCCATCGCCACTTCTCTCTCTAAATGTGAACAATAACTCTCAAACACCTTGATTGAGACTTGCAGCTTGAATTTCATCAAGAAGAGGAAATCGACCTCTAAGGCATTCATCTCCCTTATTCTCAACCCACCCACTCTTGCAAAGTATGAATTCTTGTAATTCCTGCAAAAAACCACAATAATTATGTTTAAAAAAATGATTTACTATGACTTTCATAATTGCAAACTAAAGCTAAAAAGACCAAGAGTAGGTTTGATCCATGTTGGTACTCGCTCTCTCTCTTTCTCCAATTGTCGCTCAAAATTCATAATTTCATATGGCTTTCATCATAGGAAACTAAAGTAAAAAAGCAAAAAGCTGTTCTCTCTCTCTCCCCCACCCCTCCCCAAAAAAAAAAAAAATTTGTAGCTCAAAATTCAGAATGTCAGAGTAATTCATGAGGATATGTGCATTCTAGCCATAGTTATCAGAATTCCGGGAAATTAGCCCATATTTAGCTCTAGTAAATACAAAATTAGGTAGATACCATAGATATGCATTTTACTGTGAGAGAGAGAGAGGACCTTACATGTCTTCAACGAATTTTGAGGCAACCATGACAGCGGTTATCAGAATTCAGGTGAAATTAGCCCATATTTAGCTCTAGTAAATACAAAATTAGGTAGATACCATAGATATGCATTTTACAGTGAGAGAGAGAGAGGATCTTACATGTCTTCAACGAATTTTGAGGCAACCATGACAGTGGTTATAAGGAGGCGGTGAACGTTTCGGCAAGAGATTCGAAAACCAGGATGAAATTGGCAGAGGCGATCAATGTAGGCATAAGCGACCACAAACACAGATGAACTCAAACGTGTGTGCCTGAAAATTCTTTCTAAGAAGGATTGCACAGTGATTTCTAAACCATGCTGAGAATCGAACGATCGGAATCCGGCAATTAGGCTTGAATTTGAGGAAACTTGAATCCTTTGAGTCCTTGCCATGGCCCTTTCAAGCAGAGAGGCAAGAACTGAGATAACTAGTGGGGTGGATCCATCTTCATCACTGGAGAATGTGTAGATATCTGTGAGAAGTTTGTGACAGGAAAGAGACATTGTTTTAGAGAGAGAGAGAGAGAGAGAGGAGGGAGTATTGGTTGTGCTTTAGGAAGATGAAGGGGTGAGATTATGAGAGGAAAATGGGAGGAGTTTCCAATGTAATGGGGGAATTCTTTGGCCTTTGGTGTTTGGAAGGATTTTACATGAAGAAAGTTGTAAGATGGTGCTCCCTTATGTGTGTGTGAGAGAGAGAAACAAGAGAATTTGGTTTTTAGAGAGAGAGAGGGAGAGATGAGGAGAGTTTGGTGGTGGGCTTTGGTGCTCTTGGAGGAGGATTTTATAGGGAAAGGAAAGTTGGGGTCATGACAAAAGTAGGATGGTGCACCTTTTGAGAGAGAGAAGAGAGAAAGGAGAGAGAGAGAGAAGAGAGTGAAAGGAGAGAGAGAAGAGCGAGAGCGGAGAGAGAGAAGAGAGAGAAAGGAGAGAGAGATTTGAGAGGGAAAACTTAGGTATTATTATTAGGAAAGTGAGAAGTAGCACCCTTTTGAATCACAACAAATGTAGTAGAAAAGCAAGAAGATGCGATATGTTCCACTCCAACAAAGCAATGGAAATAAAAAATTATCATATAAAACTACCATCGGTTACCAGAAAATAGCTTTAACAACCTCAATATGTTAGACGACATTGGTTCAAGCTGAGGTGCACTTCTTACTACTAGCTATTGATTGAGTCCCACTAGAGATTTTCTATTCCCTCGGGAGTATGCTATGTATTTGCTATCTCGAGAGAAATTCATGTTAAGGAATATTCTTCAGACCTCAATTTTTTGGTATGTAGCCTCTAGAACTAAGAACTAGTCTCATATAGAAAAAAAAAAAACTAAATAGTATTCATTATATGTCTCAAAAAAATTAAGATCCTGAGATTGAATAAGAACGGTTTAATTTTCGATGGGAAAGATCTAAATGTTCAAGAACTTTTAATCCAAAATATTTTTCAATACTTAAATGGATCTCAAAACTCTGGATTAAAAACAATTTCTTAAGTTACTCTTTTGCACATATGTACAGCATGCTCCTGCAGGATTATTATATGATTTGTGTGAGAGATAGACAGAGAGGGCTATGAGAGAGTGATTAGATCAAATATCAAGGGTGTTGACACTTGGGCAGCTAGGAGAGAGATATCAAGCTTGTGTTGTGACTCTTGGGCAGCTTAGCTTTTTTTAAAAAAATAAAAACAAAATTATTATTGTAAAAGCTGACTTCAATTAGTTGGAAATTTTTTTGAAAATAATAATGAATTGTTATCGCATAAAAAAAACACTGTAGAGAAGCAAGCGACATAGGGAATAAGGAAGGAAGGTCCGATAATATTTAAGTGCATGGTTTTATTGCCCTTTTCCTACCACGAACACTTGGTAACAACCATGAAAAGACAATACAACACATATGTTGGATGCAACGTCTTCCCATTAGACAGAAGAGAATCGCCGACACTCCATTTCATTGGTCCTTTGAAGGGTTTTAAGAAATGTTGATTTGGATCGGAATGGTTCGATCTGGATAAAAATCGGTAGGACTGGCCAAATCCCACGGAACCAGTATCGATCTAGCTCGATTATCTAAAGGATAAACAGATCCCAACTTCGAAAACTAAATTTGGCCCGAGGCCTAAGCCCATTGCTGAAATCTAGGCTTGGTTAGGCCAAGCCCAACCTGGCCTACACTTATTTATGTTTTTCAATTTATGTTTAATTTTATGGAAAAATTAAATTCTACACACATACATACACATATATACATAAAACTAGGCCCAAGACCAGTCCAACCAAATTTTCAAATCCTCAAGGATATAATTTGAGTCACGCCCAAGCCACGAGTAATTTTTTATGTGCCCAAGCCTAGCCCGGGCCCAATCAAAAACTTCAAGCATGGATCGAACCAGCTTGGTTTAGACCGGCCCATAAACAGCCCCAATCTAAAGAGAGCATGCTCCTCTCTTAATAATATATATCTGATTGTTTTCTCTCTCTACATCTATCGCAGTCTAGAGAGAGAACGAGAGCACCTCTCTCTCTCTCTAGAACTCTCTACAATCCACCATCACTCTCTCTCTCTCTCACCTATGAAGGTTGGTGCCTTGGTGGGGAACATCGTACAAGCTGCGTGCGGTGCACGAGAGATTCCTTAAATGAGAGAGATTTATTTATTGGATTTTAATAGATTTTTCCAATTAATAAGATTTTTTTTTTTGTCGATTCATGTAGATGGTCAGGAGAGGAAAACCACGAGCATCGTCAGGGGTTTTTTTCGTAATCAAACATTTTACACGGTGGCACCGACAGTTTTTTGCTGTGGGGATAAGGGTATAATTGCCATTTTTACAAATAAAGCACGTTTTTAGCTATATCGGACGGCTGGATGAGATGTGGCATACATGAATTCCGTATACCTAGAGGCATATAGAAAGTTCTCCCAAAAAATTAAGCCAAGCAAGGCAGGATTTTGTGAGCTATTGCAATTTGGATAGTTTGTTGATGGTTAATGGGGAGGCATATGATCGAGATTGTAAAGGTTTTCGGCACCAAAACATTTTTTAGCAAGATTTTAAGGTAGCTTTATTTTGATTAGTGGACACCTTATACACATCTTTTTTTTTTTTTAACGGTGTGGGCACATTAATCGATTCAATGGTAATTGTTGAGTCCATTTGTGACTCGCTCCACACCATTCCTAAGCCGGTACATGATTTTCCACGCATATGCGTTATTTGAAATCAGATGATCATGTACCAGTTTGGTAATGGCCAGGAGCAAGTCACCCGAATCTCTAATTAACTCAAATTCCCATTGAGCCACCCTGTTGAAGAAAGAGCAACGATCCTATGAGATCCTCCCACACCCGTGTGTAGGATCCCAAAAGATCACCAATAAATTTGATACAGTTCTCTAGAAAAATCAAGTCCCACACCTATCTAATAATTTTTCTAAATATCTGTATCAAATTTAATAGCGATCTTTTTAGAATCCTACACGCATGAATGTGGAAAGGTCTCATAGGTTCATTAAAAAAACAAGACTGCCAAAATTTAAAAAAGATCCTTTGCTGCCGTAGTGAAAAGATCGTTTATGGATATACAGTTGCATGGACAAACAGGACAAACAGCTGTGGGGCCCAAATTTGGGGTACATAATGGCACCAATTAAAGAAATAAGCCTCAAATTGATGAAAACCCCCAACAAGGCCGAAATCATCGGACTAGGAGCAATTCCCCAAGACACAGGCATCACTAGACTTTTGTGCGAAAACCGACCGCCGTTGAGTTCAATACAAAGCGATTCCAAGCAAACCCGGTGATTTTCCAATCACTAGTATGAAAAACAACTATGTAATACATCCAGTTAAACCAAACACGGACCACGTCATAGAGATACGTCTTTTAAAAACAAAGACAAGAAAATGGTCGACTGCGCTGATGCATCTAAGAGATAACAGAGATCCATTGTTACAAATTGGGCTTAAATTTTGTGCATTGCTCTCTCTCTCTCTCT